ACCTATAGACAGTCTTTCTGGAACACTTCAGGGTGACTGCATCACCACCAAAGGAGTGGTCTTCAGGCTCAGGCTTGCATGAGGGGTAGGGTAACAATTCCTCTCTACTTGAAGCATCAACACCTACAGGTGAAAAGAGGTGCCTATCTGATCTGAATAGCCAGAATACTGGGCCAAGAGAATGGCTGTGATATGGATTGGCTCTGTGTTCCCATCCATACCTCATCTCAAATTGTAATCTTCACATATTGGGGAAGGAGACTGGTGAGAGGTGATTGAATCATATGGGAGGACTTCCCCCTTGCCGTTCTGACAGTGAGTGAGTTCTCATGAGACCTGGTTATTTGAAAGTGTGTGGCACTTTGCCATTTGCGCTCTCTCTCCCTCTCTCTCTCTGTCTCTCTCTCTCTCTCTCTCTCTCTCTCTCTCTCTCTCTCCTGCTGCCATTGTGAAGAAGGTCTTTGCTTCTCTTCCACCTTCTGCCATGGTTTTAAGTTTCCTAAGACCTTACAGTCATGCTTCCTTTTAAGCCTGTGGAACTGTGAGTCGATGAAACCTTTTTTCTTCATGATCATGAATTACCTATCTCAGGGAGCTCTTTATAGCACTGTGAGGATGGATTAATACAACTAGAAGATGAATCACTTTCTTGCTGGCCTGGCAGGGGAGCTGAGGTGGTTCCCAGTCTTCCCTCTGATAAGACCACAGTGTGTTTTGATGGGAGATCCTTCAGCCACTCTGTGAAGGCTGTGACCTCTGCCTATCATTGCATATTGCATTTACCCACCTGTTTTAGCGACAACTTATTTCTGCCCAGGGACATCTTCCCTACTGGCTGGAAGCCTGAACTATTCAACCCAATAAATAAAGTACTGGGGAAAAGTAAATAACGTGAAAAACACAAGGGAATGACATAGGCTTCAACAGACCTCTGCCATTCTAACTTCATAGGACACAGTAAACTTGCCCATACACTGAGCACCTTGCTACTACAACCAGCATCTGAGAAATCCATCATATATGGGCCTTCTATAACCAAGAAGCTAATACAGAGTCTTCATCCCGAAAGCATCAAAAGCTGAATTAGGCTGCAATAAACTATAAACATTGAAGTCATATCCATAAGGGGAAACAGAAATTTAAAAAAACACAGTGAAATCAAAAATAAATTCAAAAAATAATTTGAAGAATAGGGTACTCAAATGAGAAGGAGCCAGAAAAATAATTTTGTCAATATGACAATATGTATATAACACCTGCAAAAGATTACATTATCTGTCAAGCTATGAATCTATATCATTGTGAAATCTTTGACATATCAGATAAAGAATGCAAAAGGTTGATTATTAAACTATTCAATGAGATAAAAGATAAAGGTGAAAACCAACAAGAAAAAATTTAAAATAATAATTTAGAATATAAATAAAAAATTTCCTAAAGATATATTTAAGAAATCAGAAGTTCTGGAAATGGAAGACACATTTAGGGAATTACAGAAGGCAGTAAAATTTCTAACAATAGACTATGAAGTAAAATAAAGAATTTCAGAGCTCAAAGACAAGGCTTTGGAATTAATGTATTGGGAAGAAAATAAAGAAAAAATATAAAGAAATGAAAAAAATATAAAGAAAAGAAATATCTCCAAGAAATATATAAAATTGTTCCTGAGGTTAAAAAAAAAGGCAAAAAGTTTGAAAAATTTATTTGGGGGAATAATTAAAGAAAAATTATCTGGCCTTGCTAGCGATTTAGATATTCAGCTACAAAGGCTCAAAGAACTTTTGGGAGATTTATTGCAAAAAAGTCATTGCCAAAGCATATACCTATCAGGTGTCTAAAGTCAACCTGAAGAAAAAAAGTTCTTTTTTTACCAAGGTTTCAGAATTCATATTAATATATAACATTAAAATCATTTTATATAATAGTAATACTATTAAATTGAATTTTTTAAATGGCACTTATAATAGGCAAAAAAAAAAAAATGTTTCCAGATGAATCTGACAAAATATGTGAAAGTTTCACACAGTTAAAATTAGAAAACACTAAGAAAAAATTAGTAATTACCTGAATAAATGCAGAAAGATACTTTTTGGTAATATAATAGAATGATACTTGTTTGTTTGTTTGTTTTTTAATTTTACTTTAAGTTCTGGGATTCACATACAGAAGGTATAGGTTTGTTGCATAGGTATACATGTGCTATAGTGCTTTGCTGCACCCATCAACCCTTAATCTATGTTTAAGCCCCAAATGCATTAGGTATTTGACCTAATGCTATCCCTGCCCTCACCCCATACCCTCCGACAGGCCTGGTGGGTGATGTTCCCCTCTCTGTGTCCATGTGTTCTCACTGTTCAACTCCCACTTATGAGTGAGAACATGAGGTGTTCAGTTTTCTCTTCCTCTGTTAGTTTGCCAAGCATGATAGTTTCCAGCTTCATCCATGTCCTGCAAAAAACATGAACTCAATCTTTTTTTTGGCTGTATGGTATTCCATGGTGTATATGTGCCACATTTTTGTTTTTATCCAGTCTATCACTGATGGGGATTTGGGTTGGTTCCAAGTGTTTGCTATTGCGAATAGTGCTGCAGTAAACATATATTTGGGTATATACCTGCTAATGGGATTGCTGGGTCAAATGGCATTTCTATTTCTAGATCCTTGAGGGATGGCCACACTGTCTTCCACAATGTTTGAACTAATTTACACTCCCATCAACAGTGTAAAGGCATTCCTATTTCTCCACATCCTCTCCAGCATCTGTTGTCTCCTGATTTTTTAATGTTTGCCATTCTAACTCGCATGAGATGGTATCTCATTGTGGATTTGATTTGCATTCCTCTAACGATAATTTGCGTTTCTCTAATAACGCATTTCTCAGTGATGATAAGCTTTGTTCATGTGTTTGTTGGCTGCATAAATGTCTTTTGAGAATTGTCTGTTTATATCCTTTAACCACTTTAGGATAGAGTTTTCTTTCTTGTAAATTCGTTTAAGTCCCTTGTAGATTCTGGATATTAGCGCTTTGTCAGATGGATAATTTGCAGAAATGTTCCCCAATTCTGTAGAAAATTTCTAAGAGCAGTGAGATAAAACATCAGTTAACCTGTAAAGATAAACCTATCAAACTAACAGCAGACTTCTAAGCAAAAACCTTATGAGCCATAAGGGATTGAGGTCCTATCTTTAGCCTCCTTAAAAAAGAATAATTGTCACCCAAGAATTTTGGATCCAGCAAAACCAAGTTTTATAAATGAAAAATAAATAAAGTTATTTTTAGTAGAACAAATGCTGAGGGAATTTGCACTACCAAATCAGCCCTATAATAAATGCTAAAAGGAGTTCCAAACCTGCAAACAAAGCTTGATATGCACCAAAATAAAGCCTCTTAAAAACATAAAACTCACATGGCCTATAAAACGTAATGCAGAAAACAAAGTATTGAGGTAACAATCAACTTGTTGACTGGAATGGTACCTCATATCTCAATATGAATGCTGAACATAAATGGCCTGAATGCTCCACTTAAGACATACAGACTAACAGAATGTATGAAACATCACAAGCCAGATATCTGCTGTCTTTAAGAGACTCACCTAACATGGAAGGATTCATATGAACTCAAAATAAAGGAGTGGAAAAAGATATTCCATGCAAATGGAAACCAAAAGCAATCTGGAGTAGCTATTCTTTTATTAGATTAAACAGACATTAAAACAACAAAAGTAAAAAAAGACAAAGTCATTAGATGATGATTAAAAGGATCAGTCCTATAAGAAGATATTACAATCCTAAATTTACATGCACCTAACACTGGCACTTTCAGATTCATAAAACAATTACTACTACACCTAAGAAATGAGATAGATAGGAACATAGTAATAGTGGGGACCCTCAACACTCCACTGATAGCACTAGGCAGATTGTCAAGACACAAAGTTAACAAATAAACAATGGACTTAAACTACAGTCTGCAACAAATGGACTTGACAGATATTTACAGAAAATTCTGTCCAAGATCTGCAGAACATGTATTCTTCTCATCAGTACATGGAACATACTCCAAGATAGACCATATGATAGGTCATAAAACAAATCTCAATACATTTTAAAAATTAAAATGATATCAAGTGTCTTCCTAGACCACAGTGGGATAAAACTAGAAATCAACTTCCAAAAGAACCCTCAAAATTATAGCAAACACAGAGAAATTAAACAGTGTTGTAATACAAAAGAATAAAAAAGATAAAAAAATAGTTGATAAAGTTAAAAATTTTCAGTAAGCTAAATATAATGTATCATTGAACAAATAAAATTTATTTTAAAAATTTACCCTAATGCCTAATGTTTAAGATTTCAAATGTCCCAGGTCCTCATATTCACTTGCTAATTACTCACTGATCCACCCAGAACAATTTTCAGCCCTATAAACTCAATTTGTTGTAAGTGGTCTATATAGGTACTGTTTTTTTTTTTTTAATTATTGTTTATTCTGTATTTTACTGTATCTTTTCTAGATTTCAATATGTTTATATATACAAATATTTATTATTAACATTATTAATAATTATTAATATTATTAGAGTAACATGATGTGCAGGTTTGTAGTCTGGGAGTAATAGGCTGTACCTTATAACGTAGGTGTGTTGTAGGCTATACTATATAGGCTTGTGTAAGTACACTGTGATATCTGTATCACAAACATCATTGCCTTATGATACAGTTTTCAAATTTTCAGAATATATCCCTGTTGTTTATCAGCACACGACTGTATTTGATTTACTGTCTCGATGTCCCTTTCCTTTCCTCATGCGTTACCATCATCAGCCTAATGAAACAGCCTGGGATTGCGTAATGACTACTCAGCGCTTTGAGTTTATTTCTTTTTCAGGCACTGTGGTAATTTGATTACTATATTAATAATATGTCTCCTTTACGTATTTTTAAATAGTTACTTGGTCAGGAACTATTTATAAGCTTTGGAAACATTTCATTTATTCTGCAGGATAACTTTAAGAAATGGGTATTAATTCTCATTTTATAAATGAAGACATTAAGTATCAATGTTTAAGTAGCTTGGTAAGTGTTAATTCCAGTAACTAAATAGGCAGAAATAGAATACAACTTTCTCATTGCTATCTACAGCTTCTCCCTGTGTGTGGGTTTATTTCTATTAGCCAGGATACACCTTGGTTTCGGCAATCAGTTATTGACTTTCTTTGAAGAAGGGAGAGCAAAAGGAAAAAGGGAAGAAAAATAAACCATAAGCTTCTTTTACTATCAGACACCACGTTTTTTTCTTCCACATTATCTTCTTTAAAGAGTTGCATGTTTCAGAGTCTATGAGTGCAATTGCTAGAAAGGCCAAGTGGGACTATTTAAAGTGGTGCAGTTCAATACTGACAGTGATGAAATAGAGAGAGCATGGACCCTATAATCTCAAGGAGGGGTGGCAACTCATTTGAATATTGTTTCAAGCAAATATAGGCAAAGATTGATAAAGTTTCCAATTTTTCAAAAAGACCCATAATCTAAATTTTATACAAAATCTAGCTTTTAATTTCACGAGTTGGAAATTAAAATCAATGACTTAACCATGTTATGATTTCTACTCTTAGTTCTGCCAGATTATTACTTGTTTAACTCTCTGTGATCTGAATTCTGCCTCCAACAAGCCATTTTAAAGGATACTATGAATAACTCACATAGTGTCTTTTTAATACATATTAATTGACATCTTAATTGACCTGCAAGCAGTTTAAAACTATTCATGTGTGTTTATCGAAAGATTCCTTCATGTGGCTATCTTTCTCTACTCTCTCTTTTGTCAATCTCGTTTATTACCATATTTTGCTTATTATCTGTCATGCCAGTAACCGCCAACTCTAAACATTTATCACAGTTTCTTATGCAAGCTTTATAGAAATATTAATATACCTCATATATACATATTCAGTATACATCTTAAGTATAAATTCCCCAAACATATGACTGTCATTCAGGAGACTTTTTTTGAACCTCACTAAATGTCATTAATTTTGTAGCACCCTATTTTTGTTTTACATAACTTTACTGTTTTATTAATTATTTCTTTGGATATTTTCATATATCTCCTACAACAGTATAATTTCTATGGGAAAGATAATTTGATTTTTTTATTTTTACAAAGACATTTTAGTATTTACTATGCTGGACAGCATGCCACATATTTGTCAATAAATAATGTATTGCCTCTCAGCTTCAAATTTATCCTTCAATCAATACTCTGCCAGAATGTGTGGAATTTCTCCTGTATTTACTTCATAGTGAGCACAATATTTAAGCCTTTTCTGCAGAGGGCACTGCAGAGATGTTGTAGAGGAAAGGGCTCTCCTACGGTGCCTGGCTCTTTGTAGTGAGTGAGAGGTGTGAGTGAGAGAACATCTGGTAGTGCTGTAACTCAGAATCTGAGGTCCCTGACTTCCTGCAGTCTTTTCAGCATGGACAGCACAATTTCCAGTCTTCCTACCGCCACAGGTTTTTGATTCCTTCTGCCTACCTGTGTACCTGGACTCTTGCAACGTGACAACTGTGACCTGCTTGCACCTACAATTTGTCATTAGCTCATTCCTTCTGTATACTTTTACCTAGATCCACTGAAAGAGATTCCATGGTGTGGCACCTATGCCATGGAAAGTTGCTTTTTACCATTGTTGTTGTCTAGCAATTGCCGAATAGCTCTGACCTGAGCAAACCAATGAAACACTGTGCTATTCAGTGGGTTGCAACTTCACCTTTTCCAACTACTTTAGTCTCGTGGAGGAAATGCTCCTTCCAAATATTTTTGTCATTGAATACTCTCTCTCAGCTCTAGGATACCACATAGAGTTTTCTTGTATTTTATAGTTACTTTTTTATCAGTTTACCAGTCTTTTGTATTACATTTTTCCTGTCTAAATCAACTGTGTGGTTTCTGCTCATTATGATATAAACTCAATAAATAATTTTGAGTGAATAACTACACAGTCCAAGTTATTTTAATCACCATATAAAATATCTAGAGTTTCTTCCATATATCTGAACATGCTCACTATGTATCAAAAGACAAAACAAAAATTAAGGGAAGGTGTGGTCAAATTTTATAACTGTTTTTAAGTGTTTATAACACTTTTAAATGTTTGGCATCTAGAATACACATATAATACGAACAAATAAATCAGAAAAAAAAAGAAATAACTCAGTAGAATATTTGACAAAATACTGAAACTAAAGTGTCATAAAAGAGGAAATATTACTTTCTAATACACCTGGAAAAAGCGTGCCTTCCTCAGCCGTCACATAATGCAAACGAAAGTTAAAAACAAAGTACAACAAGGTAACCAAAACTGCCTTGCTTAAGCTTAATGTAAACAAACACGAAATCTTCATCAAAAGACTATCAGCTTCTATACAGTCAGGGATACGCCCAAAATCTGGAACACAGAACTGATTCAGTGAAGAGCCACACTCACCACCATTAAAGATAAGTTTCTATAACTTACATGGGGGTGTCACTGGTGTTCCAATAACTTGATCTTGCTCCTACTGCTGTTGCTACCAGTGAGAATTTTCCAGTGCTTCATTGTATCATTAGATCGTAATTAAAATTCTGGGGAGGAGTTTATCTGATTGGTAGAGCTTAAGTCATTGGGCAGTCCCTAGCTGCAACAGAGACTGAGATAATGATTATCTGTTATCTTCAGCTTTTATAGTAGGTGGCAAGCTCTGTACTGCAACAACAATCACAACATAAAAGGTTTCTCAGTAATGGGATTGCTGGGTCAAATGGAATTTCTATTTCTAAGGCCTTGAGGAATCGCCACACTGTCTTCCACAATGGTTGAACTAATTTACACTCCCACCAACAGTTAAAAGTGTTCCTTTTTCTCCACATCCTCTCCAGCATCTGAAAACGTGGCACATATACACCATGGAATATTATGCAGCAATCAGAAATGATGAGTTTGTGTCGTTTGTAGGGACATGGATGAATCTGGAGAACATCATCCTCAGCAAACTGACACAAGAACAGAAAATGAAACACCACATATTCTCACTCATAGGCGGGTGATGAAAAATGAGAACACATGGACACAGAAAGGGGAGTACTAAACACTGGGGTCTATTGGGGGGAAAAGGGGAGGGCCAGTGGGAGGGGGAGGTGGGGAGGGATAGCCTGGGGAGAAATGCCAAACGTGGGTAAAGGGGAAAAGGAAAGCAAAGCACACTGCCATGTGTGTACCTACGCAACTGTCTTGCATGCTCTGCTCATGTACCCCAAAACCTAAAATCCAATAAAAAACTAAAAAAAAAAAAAAAGGTTTCTCAATCATATAAATGTGATTAAGATACTGAGCTGCCAAAATGCATATATGCACATAAAAAGACACTCTCACTACACATATGACCAAACAGATTTATTTCAGTATTCCAAATAATAGTAAAAACTTGAAGAAACCCAAATGTTGGCCAATACAAAAATGCTTCAGTAAATTACACCATAATATTGTCTAGTGACTGATTCTATGTCCAAATTTTTATTATTTGAGAAAATAGTCCCTAAATTTAAATGAAAGATTGTTGGGAATTTCCATTAAGTAAAACTAAATGTATCCTTAATTTCAACGTTTATTTCACAGAATATTAAACGGCACTTGATTTAGCAGGACCCAAATGCATCAATGTGAATAAATCTTAAAAGTATAATGTTGAGTAACAAATCACTATGTTTGGAATAAGTATAATATGATGAAATGTATAAATTAAGAAAAATTATAAAACATTTCTCCATATTGTTCAAGAGAACACATTTAATGATTATGTGAAATATGAATAAGAAAGTTACACAGTGAGATGAGGGAAAATAAAATAGAAATCATTCAGGAGAGAAAAATTTTGACTCTCTCTTTAATACTTAGAAATAATATAAAGCAAGTTTGATTAAATTGTTGAATATGGAAAATACATACATGGATGTCTATTATATTATGCTATTTTTTGTATCTTTGACATAATCAAACTTAAAAACTTTTAGAGTGCTTTCCAAAGTAATGTGCAATTAAATTCTTAGAGAAACACTGTAAAGAAAGTAGTATGTTCTTCATATAGAGTAAACTACTGAGGTTCACTGACATGAAGTAATGTGTACAGTTGTCTCTACTCCAAATGAAGTATTTTTCAAATTCTTAATGTTACAACATAGGATTTTTCTTTTGCATTATCACCATAGAAGATGTTAATAGGAAATATCTACTCATATATTCATAAAATTGTCTTAAAATGTTTTATTACCAAAGAGACAAAAGTTTTCATAGCCTTCATTCTTTGAAAAAGCATCTATAACTTGAAACTCATGATTATGTGTTTCAAGAGATAGCTAAAATATGAAATTTGCCCACAGATTAAGTGGTAGAGATGAGAGTTCAGTGGTAGATAAAGGACAATAATAAATACCTATTTTTATGTTTCTACTTTTTACACATTGCTTTTCTTCATTATAAATCAAACATACATTAAGCATTTTATTAAAAGAAGTGAAACACTAGAATCTATCAACAAAAATTAAGTGAAGAAATATATCAGAACCATTGTAAGTTGAGCATCCTGAATCTGAAAATCTGAAATGGAAAATGCTTCAAAATCTGAAACTTTTTAAGCGCTAATTAAAAAGATGCCAAAAGTAGAGAATTCCACACTTCACTTCATGTGATGGGTTGCAGTCAAAAGGCACAATCCACAGTTTATTCAGCATCTCCAAGGAAAAATGACCATCTTAGCCCACTTCAGCTATGATATATCTTTTCCCTGCCCTCCTACAAAAAGTAGTAAAGTGGCATATGAACAGGCTGGATGTGTGTTCCCACCAGTGCCCTACATGGGGCCAAGACCTACGTGCATTACTTACTCTGCTTTTTCTTGCTTATTCTCTGCTCTTTGGTGTAAAGATATTACCGAAAATGTCAAAGAGGTCTGCGAATACCTCTATGGGTAATGATAATAAGAAAAAGTAAAAGCATTTATGTTTATCTATATAACAGAAAGTCAAGTTGTTAGAGAAACTGGAAAGCAGTGTATGTGTGAAACATCTTACAGAAGAATTTGGTGGTGGAATAAATATATACCCATGGAGAAACACAAGAATAGACTGTTGAAGATCTGTGCTAAAAGTAATGAATAGAAGACATTGAAAAACACAAAAACACTGCATAAAACTAAAAATAAATATGTAAGTTGTGTAACCAAAGTGGATATGTTAGCATCCCCGAAGAAACACATATAACCCTGAAGAAACATAAGGATAAACTGTTGAAGTTCTGTGCTGAAAGGGATGAGAAGAAGATAATGAAAAATACAGAAACACTGCATAAACCTAAAAATAAATATGTAAATTGTGTAACCAAAATGTATATGATAGCATCACAGTGGACGCATGACCCTTAATGGTGTGTGGATCATGACAGTAGCAAAGATCTATTACGATGAACTAGAAAATTGAAGAGAGCATGAATATTAAACAGACTGGTTGCAAAAAAATTAAGAAAAGTCATGGCATTTAATTTTTGAAGACTTGTGGTGATAAAGTGTCTGCTGATCATAAGGCAGCAGATAATTTATTTATGAGTGTACCAAGGTTATCATTGATAAAAATCTGATACCAGAACAAGTCTATAATGTTGATGAAACATTCATTACTGTTTGGGTGTTCTTGCTCTAGAAAAACATCGACTAGAGCTGATAAGACATCCCCTATAGGAATTAAGTATGCCAAGGACAGAATAAGTGTGCTGGGATGTAATAATGCAACAGGCAATCCTAAGTATAAACTTCCAGTGATAGGAAAGAGCTTGCATCCTCACTCTTTTCAAGGAGAAAATTTCTTACTCCATTATTAAACAAACAAAAAAAGCATGAATCATCAAGGCAATTTCTTTGGCTGGATTCACAAACATTTTGTACCAGCAGCTCGAGCTCACTGCAGTGACTCTGGTCTGGATGATGATTGCAAGATTTTGTTATTCCTTAACAACTGTTCTGCTTATTGTCCAGCTGAAAGTCTCATCAAACATCGTGCTTATGCCAAGTGTTTTCCCCTAAATTTGACTTCATTAATTCTGTCATATCACCAAGGTAGGTTTTCAAAAGGAGTTTAGCATGAAGGATGTCACAGATGTTGTTGCCAATGCTTAGAACAAAGTGACTAAAGACACAGTTGTGCATGCCTAGAACAGCCTCTGGTCTGTAACCACGTCTTGTGATGAGAATAAAAAGGTGGTGACTTTGAAGGATTCCACATATTAAGTGAAAAAAATAATGATGTCTGATCTTTTTACATATGCAAAAAATACCTTCAGAGTCCCTCAGTAAGCTGGAAGAAGTGGAAATTGAGGAAGTTTTTAACAGTGATAATGAAAATGCAGTTTTTCATTCATTGACTGATGATCGAATAGCCAAAGTGGTTCTGAATTGATGTGATCATGAAAATAGTGATCATGAAGATGATGTTTACACTGCAGAAAGAGGGCCCATAACAACATGGTAAAAACATATGATGGGATTACTGAAGGACTAAAGCAGCGTGTATTCGTAACAGAAGCAGAAATAATGTCAGTTCATAAAATCAGAAAGCGACTTCTAAGACAAAGAGTGTTGTTAATGAGATAGATGATTTCTGCAGGAAGCATTTTAAAAAGCCATTTAGCTGAATGTCTGCTCCTCATCCCTAGCGGATCTGCTTCCTGGCTGGCAACTGTTTCTAGTGTTTTTTCTCACCTAAAAAAAAAATGGATAAAATACTGTGTACAGTAACCTTTTAATCAAAACACAGCATCTTAGGTGCAGACTGAAGGGCTACTGTTGTTTATTGTTGCTGCTGTTTAACAGCTCTTAAAAGTATTTTGGTGAAGCTACTGTGCTGCTTAT